AGACACTTTTCAGTTTTCTATCTGAAATTATCTCGGATCAAAGCTTTCTCATTGAAAAAAAAAACCTAAAATAAATCTTCACTGCTTCACCACTTCATGATTTGCTGGTCTGCATTACAATTTAAAGTTCTCGTAAAGCTTCCAACTCAAAGTGAAGTCTGTAAGTGAAAAGGTCTAAGCCCAAATTTGTGATGTTAATCCATTATTCAAGAAATTTTACAGCTTCAAATTGCCGACTGGTTTGTTCTACAGAATGAATTAAAAAAAAAAGTAGTATTTCCAATCCTCTAAAACCGACTGAATTCAGTAACCGTTATCTCTTGTTTCTCTTGTCCAAATGCCACTGACACAAGCAAAACGGGAAGATTGCATTATACTTTAAATTGACACAATTTTTTCAAGTAAACAAAATTTGGAGAATTGGATTATTTTTTTGTTGTTCAACTGTTTCACAATTGATATATACTTATTATTTTATGCAGACGAAAATAATTGCTTCTCAAAAAAATTACCTGAGATGATAATTTTACAATCATCTTGTAGATAGATAATACTAACAGTTGCAATCCCTGAAATGTTTATGCAAATGCTGAGAAGCTTAGCAAAAGATTACAATTTGCAATGGGAAATGAGCACAGTGAATATAAACAAAGCGATTCATGACAAATAATTGTTATTCGTAATATTTTTTTGGGCAATTCTTTTAACTAAGCATACAAACTTTGCTTGAACACTTCTTACTTATGGATGTAAGAAAAAAAAAAATTGCAAACTAAATTCAAGTCTTTTTGGCATAGATCATTTCAGTCCTCGATCATTAATCAAATTATATCGTTCTTAGCATTTTTGTTACATTCTATAAATTTTTATGATTTATCGATATTTCGATAATAAAAAAATTTCAGAAGTTCAAAATTTATCAGTTTCTTCTCTGTAATTGTTGATTTGCTTACAATATCACTTTTTTTTTCATTCGTTATTCTTTGTTAATGATATTAATAATTAGTGACATCGCAAATGTTCCTCAATTTTTTTTTCTTGCATAATGTTTTTTCATAAAATTCATTTTATCATTACATTGCTCTACTATATAGGAATTATATCGTTTTTATGTATTCCAATAAATCATACCGCCTTCTCATCATTAGAAAAATCGTTTTTTGAATAACGATTTTAATTCCTAACTCTCTAATACATTTTGTCAACTATATTGGAAAATCATAGTTTAATTCAAGTGCAAACAACAATTATAACTTCTGTATAATATTAGTTTATATCTGTAGAATAATCCAGAATCATCACGTAATCCATTAAATTCGGGATAAAATGAAGTACCATTGCACTTTTAATTAATAGAGAACGCAAATGAAATCATTCAAATTTGTATTATATTTGAATCACGCGAAATTTTCCATTCAATTGAAATTTGAGTGCATTTTACTTTACATGTTAACAGATCCATTTGAAACATAAGCAATTATTTGATGAATTACTAAATCCACGTGATCATCTTTTTATAATAGGAGAAACTTTTTGAAACTTTATAATAGGACTTTATAATCTTTATAACTTTTTTTTTGTAAACATTATAATCCTTATAATAGAAGAAATTTTTTAAAAGCACTTTCATTTCAAAGATACTCAAAGAAACAGAACCGTCAAATTTTTATTATGTTTGAGTCATGCAAAATTTTCAATTTAATTGTTCAAGTGCAACTTACTTTCGATATATTTCAAGTGCTATTAACACTCTATGCTAAAAACTTAATTTTTTTGTTAGTCAAAAACCATTTTAACGCAAATTCAATTTGTTCAGTTTTAAACAGATAGAAGCAACAAGTAGAACAGAGGAAAAATCAAAATTTTAGTCCAAAAAAAGTTAACTGAGTAACATAGTATAACAAAAGTGACATCGACTCTGAAGTTCATAATATAAATATATCATATTGTCAAAGAAAGCGACTTATTTTATTAACATTTTATCAAATAATTAGCATTTATACAGGTACAACACCTACTTCACAATGATATTTTAACTCTTTAATAATTGATTTTTCAATTTTTTTTTTTTTTGCAAGATATCTAATCTACTTTTTGAGTTGATTGAACACTTTACAACTGATTGTAAAATTTTCAGACTTGTATTATTAAAATTTATGGTAATCATATCTTTATTGCCTTTTTTAATGATTACTTCAAACCAATAAAAAGATTGTATTTACAATACAATATCAGAAAGTATAGAAGGCTAAGAAACTTTGCAGCTAATTCATTAAAAGAGATATTTCTCCCATCATTTCACCACATATTTTGCTTAATGTTGCTTGACGTATGCTATTAAAAGAAATTTATTGGCATTTTCACTGAATAACACCATCAAAATACACGTCAATTTAATTTTTGGCTAGTTAATATTAAAATTTTTTCAAAATTGCATCTCTGAAAGACAAATACCATGCCTTGAATACACTCCAAAAGCCAGCTAGTTTGAAACCTGTATCTTAAATTATTTCCAGCTATCACATATCCAGCTAATAAAAATTTAAAACCTAACTTCAAAATATTTGACTTTCGCTCTTATTTTTCAAGAAGTAACTATAATATTGTCATTTCAGAATTTTTTTTTTGCATTTTCTCAAAACACAAAAAACAAGATGGCAAAATCTTTAAATTTTAATTACAAAGTATTTTCATACGATCAAAACTTCTTTATTTATCGCGTTTGTCAGAAAGGCAAGCTTAAATCATTGAAAATGTTGGAGTCATGATTTTTGGATGAAAAGGAATCATTAATTCTTCAATTCAAATCGATAACTATTAGAAACTATTAGCCAAACATTGTAGTACATTTTTGTTTGGGATGGAAAATTCATCTGATTTAATGCAAATATTGTTCATGATAAACAAAAAAACCAGTCGAAATAATATCTGAAAGGTTAGGAAATTGCGATAAAGCAGTCCTAATAAAATACTGCCGAACAGATTCTAATTGATTAATACAAATCTAACAGATTCTAATTGATTAATACAAATCTAACAGATTCTAATTGATTAATACAAATCTAACAGATTCTAATTGATTAATACAAATCTAACAGATTAATCCAGGTTACAACGATTTTTTGCTACTAATCTTTTTTATTTCATATCAAAATGTAAAATTATTGTCATTTTAATCCTCATTCACTGTTGATAATATCTCATATCACACATTGACAAATTTCTCAGCACTGATATCTCATAGTATTACTGCATTATAGGTTTGTTATGCTAACCATCAACTGGAACTATTTTGATGATCTGAGGAAGAAAGTTTCAATGTCCTATGGATCAGGAAATGTGCCAATACAATCGTATCAGGTGAATACGGGAATGAGCTATAAATCCGGAAAGAAACAATTGAGTGCGAAAATTTGACGCATATTTTCCGAGCGGCATTTCCGATATGCCGCTTACATTAATTTGTAAGTGTATTCAAATGAATATGTTAGTTTATAATGTGCACATAATTGATGAAATATTTTTTCCAGAAAATTTGAAATAGGAAATTGAGTATTTGTTTGTTTGCTATGACCTCAATTCTCTCAATTCGTTATGATCTCACAACAATATTCTTTTGATATTATGTTAACAAAATTTTACTCGAAAATTTTGACTAACCAAAATTTTGTTACCTAAACAACTTGTATTATAGAAACTTTAATTTCCAATCATTACAATATTCCGGCACAGTGTCGTTTATGTGTTATATCGATCAGTCTCGCCAGAAAAGGCATGAAAAGACTTGCAATATTTTTTGTGAATATATGTTTAATTCAGAAACCTATCATTAATAGATGGATACAAAGTTATTAAATGCAAAAATATCCTTTCATCCAATTACTTTTGCTGCACAGCTTTTTTTTCATGCCGTGCTTGTAGTCTGAAATTAATTTTAATTTTTATTTCACTCCGAGATAATGAGTAGTCATACATCAATGATACATACATGATCGTATCAGTTTTGGAAAGATAAGCACTACACTATCCAGTCCTATATCTTTTAATGTCTCTTCGTTTTCCACATCATATATTTATTTTTTATTTTTTCCGATTTTCAATTTATACTTTTTTGAATTAATCCATTGATTTAATTTGACATTTTACTATTGAACATACTGTTGTTCAGAATATTTTTCCAATTATTTCTTCTCATAATTCTTAGTTAAAATTTTTGGCTTTATCCATTAAGACTTCGACAATAAAAAAACAGTGAAATTTCGATGTATCAACTGCTTTGTCAATAAAATTTGCAACTAAGAATTAATTGTTTGAATTTCACCATGCTTTGAATTGAAGTGTTTATGAAATGAAAGAGAAGAGAATACTAACTCTTTCGGTGTGAAATCAAGTCTTTCATGTTCCGACATTCGTTTTAACTTCTCTCTCGATTTTTTACCTCTGCAAATCTCTGCAATTAAATTTGATATGCTCATTGCTGTACACTTGAAAATTGGCATTAATCAATGAATTTATCTTCAAGCAATTAACGTCTAATTTCTGAAAATTTTAGGATTCCTCATATTATATTTTCCTGAAAA